TTTGCTTATCTCGTCTCATGACTTCTAATATTCAGCATCTTCAGGATTATATTTTCACTGAATATTGTATCTGCAATTAAGAGTCTTCTTTTTTCTTTCTTTCTTCCTTTCCTTTTTAGTTTTTAAGAGGGCTGTCATACTGGTGTATAAAGAGAACTACAAACTGAAAAAGAAAATGGTAAGTCTGGTGTGAGTTGTGGTGGATGTTTATGTGCAGGATCCTGCTGTAGTGTAGAATGGACCATACTGGTGTTGAAGAGGGAGCGGCTGTGGTAAAATGCTACCTCCTGTCACTAGGCTGGAACTTCAGCTACCACAGATAAAACAAGTGCTCAGTATTTATGTAACAATAAGTTGGTTTTTTGTTTGTTTTTAATGCTGTTTAGTAACCTCCATCATCTTCTCTATGTCAGCAATGCATTTGTTCTCTCAGGGATGAAACATTGCCATGCAGGAATCACTTCCAGATGGCTTTTGTGACAGCCTACCTTAACTCTGTGAGGATTGAAAACCTCTGTTTATAGATTCTTGATCACTTTGAAAGGATGTATAAATGTAACTTAAATGTAACTTTTTCTAGCCCAATTTACAAAACTGGAATACTAAAGCAGCAAGCTGTATATCCTGAGTATCAGTGGCAATGTACTGTAACCTGCAAATCGTCAGAGATCAAAGGACTTTAAGAGTAGTAGTAGCAGCAGTGACATGATTAATGTTTTCTGCTAATGTACAGTCCCTAGACTATTTTTTCATGGAAAGTTTGTTCCCAAATAGCACTTATATATATTACTTTTATCCATTAAAAACAAGTGCTTTAAAAGCTGAAGCAACTACAAATTCCAAGGCTGTGTCTATGACCATTCCAGCTACATTTACAAGCACAAATTAGGGGCTTGAAGGAAAAAGTCTAACGAACTGCAGTTTCTCTTCAGTTATGGGTCTGAAATTAAAGCAAAAAAGAACCACTTCTTAGAAATATCCTCTTGCTTTTCTTTTACAGCCTACTAATGTTCGTGCTGCCCATAATTATGGTGACTTGGATCCATTTAAGTTTCGCTGGCTGATTCCCCTATCTGCTCTTCAAGTTCGGCTTGGGAACACAGCAGGTAATTAATTCCCTTGTACTGAAAACTCCAGAATGAATAGTTTTCTGGAATTCTCCAGTACTGCTTCTACTGTATGTCATGGTGGAGCCGCTGGAAACAGGCAGGAATGGAGAAAGTAGTATCTACTGTTGTCTGACCTCAGAGGACACAGACCTGATTCATAAACAGACTATCTCAGTTCCATATGCTGACTTCATCCCTCTTCTTCCCTGAGTTCAAGAAGATGCAGGGTGATATGAAAATATGACAGAATGAAAATTCCCAGTAAAAAGATACCATGAACAGGATGCGGATTTATCTTGGCTGACATCCTGGTTATGCCCTTTCTGTGTGCGGAGTCTTGTGTTTTTTCAGGTGTGGGAAGCTGACTGTATAGCTGGTGTAGCAGAGGGCCGCCTTTTTGTTTTCTCTGAGTTGATCCTTATGATTCTATCCAGTTCTGAACCTCGTGTAGTGTCACGAGGTGTCTTAGAGGAAATGGGAGAAGGTCTTCTAAGGCTGGAAGGCATTAAGAAGCATAAGAAAGCAACTCTCCAAGAGAGACGGTAGAGTTTTCAAAGGTAGACCCGCAAGGCTGCTAGAACTAGAGAGTTCAGGGAACTTTCTTTTGGGTTCTACTTCAGATGAGATCTACCACACCCTGTGTTAACACTGCTTTCAGGAGAAGGGAAGCTCTCCACGGGTCTTTCTAATGCTGAAGGTTCTGTGAAGTATATACAAAAATAACACTTTCTTCTACGCGTAGGAACAGAGAACAGCTGTATCTGGGAACTGATTCACACAAAGTCAGAACTGGAAGGCAGGCCAGAAACCATTTTTCAGTTATGCAGCAGGTAAGCTTTCTATGGAAGTTGGATGAATTACATTAATGAAATTTTAAAAAGTAGAAAATTCCTCCACCCTGTGACCTTTATATCAGCACTTCTAAAGCTGTTATCAGTCTTTAAATCCAGGCACTATGCTACTATTTACCTGCATAAGATATAACAGACATAACAGTTTGAAACTGCCCTGAACTTGATACAGTGATCCAGTGAAAATCTGCACAGGTGTAGTATCATAAATTTCAGTATGCTAGGGGCAGACTAATTTTACTAGGCTCTTGGTTGGTTAGCAGAAATTGCCTAACCCTAATCTGATAACACCACTCAAAGGGTAATCCTTTGGTACCTGATCTTTCAGGCTCTTTTAAAGGAAATAACTAAGAACTCAAAACACAAAAGAGTATGACATGCCTAACACCACAGAACAGCGTTAACTGCCAAACTAAGGAAAGTGACTGACAAAAAAAATCACTGTGCTAAACACATCAACAGAAAGCAGGAGGTTGAATGCGACTTCAGCTGTCTTTCTTTAGATGTGAAAATGAGATTATCTGTTGTCTTAAACTTCCAGTGACTGTGAGAACAAGACTAACATTGTGAAGGTGATCCGTTCTATCTTGCGGGAGAATTTCAGACGTCACATAAAATGTGAGCTGCCTCTGGAGAAAACCTGTAAAGATCGCCTCATCCCACTCAAGAACCGCGTGCCTGCGACAGCTAAACTGGGTAAGAAACAGGTTCTCAAAGTGAAAAATGGAGGCTGGAATCCAAAGCTGGCAGATGATTCGCAGTTATTAAAGTGGCTGTACAGTGTCGTGTGCCAGACCCACAAATTCCAATTTCTTTTTCAGGCTGAGTACTTGCAGCATTTTCTCCACAACTCAGTGTAGAGGAGATAAGCAAGCTTGCTGTTTCCCACTGTATTCTCATGTTTGATTTGTTGTTAGCTGTCTTAAGGGAAGACTTAGTAAGACCCCATTTTGTTGGTTAGAAACAGACTCCCTTTGGCCTGCAGAATACTGTGTTCTTTCTTCAGAGTTATCTCTAATATCTCAGCCCTGCTAACAGTCAAAGCTAAAACAAATAACAAAAGACAGGGCTCCTGTTTCTCTCCACGTTCTTAACATGGAGCACATACCCTAATGAATTAAGCACAGGCTTCAGGCTTTTTATCTACTAGTTTGCTACTGGTATTTCTAGTTCTCTATGTGTTCACTTGATTGAAATCCTCATTATGTGGCAGGATCAGGGACAGTTCAACTCATGCCTCCAACTTGACCCTCTAGTGCTTGAGGTATATATGCTTGCACATAAAGGCAAGCATATAACTCTGGAGGAGGTATGAGTGAAAAATCTGATGCTTAGTTACACTGTTGGTATCAGAATGCTGACACACCTGACCCTGAATGAGACTATGTACACTGTGACTGGAAGTGGGTTGTTGAGACAGGCAGTATAACCAAATGTTTGGATGAGAAGATAAAACTGCCTTCTTCTTCTGCACAGCTTCCACCAGGTCCTTGAAGGTACTGAAGAATTCACCCAGCAGTGAGTGGAACGGTGACCAAGGGAAAGGCACCTTCCAGGACTCCGATGAGTGCAGCCTGAGCAGCAGCACCCAGAGCAGCAGCTGCAACACCACAGAGAGCATACAGGAGCCCAAAACTTCATCTCCTGATCAGCATGTACAGAGCTGTGCCTCCGACTTTTCTAATGCTCTTGTCAAAGAATCTGATATTCTCAGTGATGACGACGATGATGACTATCAGAACCTAAAGAAGAGCAGCCCTACTAAAGACATTGAAATTCAGTTCCAACGGCTGAAGATTTCGGAGGAACCCAATGCTGACTCTGAACGAGATCAAGCTGCAGAAAAGGAGGAAGGAGATGGTTTCAAGATGGGAGAACATCCAAAGCTGATACGTGGTCATTTCTGTCCAGTGAAGCGAAAAGTAAACAGCACAAAGCGTAACAGGGGAACTTTAACGGCAATGCAGGAACGTCACCAGTCCCTTGACAGCCACTCTGATGCTGCAAACTTGGACCTGAACTCTATTTTGGAGAGAGAATTTAGCGTCCAGAGCTTAACATCTGTAGTTAATGAGGACTGTTTTTATGAAGCTGTGGAGAGGCATGGGAAATCCTAGCTTTCTGAGCAGCACTCTATACAAAATGTTCATTTGAAGTCCATGTGAAATTCAACAAACTTATTTTGCTTTAAAATCAGTAAATTCATGGAAGCCACAGCAACACTACTATCTCATTTTCTGCACTAGTACATTTTTTCCACAAATACAGCTGTAAAGGATTTTTAAGTTATTTTAATTTATTGTGGATCAAAAATAGAGTAAGTAAGTTTTCCAAGGTCTGTAAATTAGTTCATCCCTTTCAAACAGTTATTGGGATTATGTAGTATTATTTTTGGGGAGGGGAAGGGTGGCCTTGTTAGTACATTTAAGTTAAGTTATGTGGAAAAGATGCTAGTGAGTGGCAGAAGTAAATGCAGTGGAAAGTAGTATGACAAAATGAGTTTTTCAATACCATGGGCATTTATTTTCTTTGGTTTTCATTTTTGCTTTATTTAAAGCAGAATTAAGTTATTTGAATGTGCTTTAGTGCACAACAGTGCAGAAATTTCATTTTTGTATGTTTCAAAATGCTGTTTATACTTTATATATATGTGTAAATATAAAATCAAAGCTTGGCCTGTAATCTTTTATTTGACTGTATTTTTTATTTTCTCTACCAGCCTGTACAGTAAAAGACAAATAAGTATTGTACTTAGCTATGTTTTCTACTTTTTATCATGCTGCTGTTCTCTTAAACTCCCAAGTTCTTTGCTTTTGTGTATATGAGAATGAGTATTAGCAGACCTTGAGGCAATCTGTGCACTTTATCCTCCCATAAGCCAGTCACTTGAGTATATTTATACGAGGCTTTTGATTTTTAAATTACTCCGCAGAGGATTTTCCCAGATAAAAAGGGCATAAGACCTCAAACAACATCTTACATGCTGCAAGTATGAAAAGAGTTTTTATGTTGCAATAACGCACTCACATTCAAAAAAAAATGTATTATTTCAATTTAATTACGTATCTCACAACATACCTTGTTCTGGGTGTGTGTTCTGTCTTCGGAAGCAAGAAGAACCAGTAGGCACATTGTAAGCGGACTGTCCTAAACTTTTGTCTACAGCTGAACAGAACAAATAAAATAGGAAAGCCCCCTTCACCACTTTTTCAAAAGTTACTTCTTCCATACCTGAACAGATGTAAGAATACATAGATCAACACTTCTAGTTCAAGGAGTTAAATCCCAGTTCAGTCTGCTGTAATTACAGAGGATTTTCCTCTACAGTTTCTTCTAGCCGGTCTGTACTTTCAGGGGAACGCTTCCTCTTCTTCTGCCTTAGCTCTTCTCTATAATTGTATGCAAAAAGGTTCGGGTCTTCATCACACATTTTCCTGTATGTATTGCACAGATTTCTAAAGTGCGACATAGTGAGCTGAACAGGACGCAGAGTTGGATCAACATCTGCTGCCATCATCAACTGTTCTGTTTTTTTCAAACGTTCTCTTTCAGGAAACAAGATCCTAAAGGCAGGGCAAAGAGAAGAGAAGAGTGCAGACAATTCAGTTTCCAGGAAGAGATACAAGGCTCTCTTCAGCTTTTACATAATCTTAAGACAGTTCATTGTCTAAGCAAACAGAAACATAGAAGGGCCACTTTTCTGCAAATGCAACTTTTAACAACATGGAATTTGTACATTGTACATCAAACAAAATGCATGTATGCTCATGATTAATAACATTAAAAAAGAGCTTTGGGTATGGATACTGTCATAGAGCCTTCTTGGAATTAGCCTAATATTTAAAGAGCAATAATAGAGTCAACTTTATGCAAAGCACATCAGGTCCAAATTACATAACTTTTTTCAAGCTATTTCATTTCAATGGGACAGATATTATTATAACAACTTCTCATTAATACTGTAATTCCAATGCCAGGAAAAAAAAAAAAAAGCCAAGGAGGAAGAAATGAATATTTAACTATTGTTCACATTTTAATAGGGGAAATTGTGCCTGAAGTACTAGATGTCCTTTTCTCCTCTATCACTGTTTATAAATAGTCAAACCAACCCCTGTACTCTGTGTCCTACATTGGCCTCTTTCTCACAACTTCTCAAATCTTAATAAAAGTGATTTTTAATTTCCCTCAAAAATGCATAGCACAAAGTTCAAGCTACCGAAAGCACTGGACACATGGTTGATAAGCATGCCTCAATTTTCCAATTATCTGTTGTCATACATACATCAAACTTTAAAATGCTGCACAGGTTGCCTTTGACAAGCTAGGCAAAAAGCTCTGTGCAACTGAAAATTGGCTCTTGGTGGTCAGACAGAAGACAAAGCTAAAAAGGGGTCTAAAAGGACAAGAGAAGATGGGATCTCTGGGAGCAACCTGGTTTAAGGTGCACTGCACCTCAAGGCCTTGATTAAAGAAATCTCCATTATTTTCAGACGTTCCTCGAGGCAAAAATCAACCTTCTTTTATACATGGACTATGAAAGGTCCGTACATGAGTGGTAACTTAAGCTATGCTTTATTCTTCCTGGATGTAACAGTTGAACCTTACACACCACATCTCTCTCAAGTCCCAGATGTTAAACACAAATGTACACTCATTCTATTACCTTGTTTCTATACAGTATCTTGTAAGTAATGTAACAGCCCCATTACTCACCACAAATTGCTCATTTTTTTCAGGTCAGCTAAAGAATAAGAGGATTGTGTTTCTTAGCTGCGTGCTAGGGCTAAAGTCCAATAATCTGTTAGGGAATATGTGATGCTCAAAAGTTCAGACTCGCTCTCCTTGCCACAAAAGAATGTACAGCAGTTATTAGCTACTTCACACTACACAATTTTTTAAAAAAATTTGGCAAAAATATTTTACGTAACATATACGTGCTGATTGCATGTGCCTCTTGATTATATTGTCAGCTGAAGACACTCTTCCATGAAGACTGCAAATCAAATAGAAACCTAGCTGGTTTGGATACCTCGATCTCTCACCGATTTCAAATGCATACTCAAACATTACTGCGGGCAAATTAGCATTCAGTTTTGAATCCCAGACATCAATATCACTCACTGCCTCAAGAACAAACAAAAAACTTTTCCGTCTAGAAAATGAAGGCAAAATTCTATGTATGTTCACCTTCAAAATAGCAACGTATAACCCTTGCAGTTAAGCAAGGTGGCATCCATCCTAGATTGCTTCTAAACCATGCCCAGCAAACTTGAGGCGTAGAGCTGTAATTTCAGCTAGCTGAAAATTCCCTAACAAGAGCTCTGTCACATATTTCTAGTCTGTCTAGCACAGGGCTTTTCCCATCCCAAGTCAGACATGTATCTAAGCTCAAGTTTTAACAGGATCCCTGGAGAACAGACTGAAGTTTTCCTGTGCCAGTTAAAGAAGCTAGTAAATTCTCTCAATGAGACACAGGGCTTTTTAAAGAGGCAATAACAACTCCATATAAGGGCACAGAAGCACAGAAGTAAGAATTTGACCTTTTGACACTATCCCTCCAAATAAGTAAAATTTCCCACAGATCGAATTCTCTCTCCATAGACTGCAATCATCAGTTAAGAATTCTGAAACTTTCATTTTTTAACTCAACCAACAAATGCTATTGATTTTCAGTTGCTTTTGTTGCTGCTGTTATTTTGTTCAATTATCGGAGAGACACAAATTGGAAAGATCACCAATTTATCCCAGTAATTTTAACAGCTTCAATTACACTAACAAAAATCCACAGTAATTATTATTTAACAAAAACAGAGAGGCATTCAGCTCATAATTTTGTCTCCTTTCTGAAACTGAAAGATCTGATGAACACTGAATAGCATATTTAAATAGAGTGAATAAAAACAAATGATAGAGGATTATTCCTTCAAGTTCCTTACTCAACTCCACGGCAGCAATATTTTCTTCTAAACTGAAAAACACTTTGAACCACTTTTTCCACTAGCTCAAATGGCTGCTGTATCTTTGGTTGCACCAATGGAGTGAAATGCACTACTGCCACATCCACCTGCAAGGAAAAACAAAACATCAAGATAACTGAGCAGATGCATTCCTCTGAGACACAGTACTTCTTTACAGTTCAGAGGTTAGGTGTCAAGAAACAGGGAGAACACAGGAAAACACTGTGACAGGTAACAGCTGTGTGATAAACCACTGCCACACTACTTGATTTGGCTTCACTTTCAAAGCCCTGACGTATTTTAGTCTTTTTTGGTTATCTACATATTTCTAATTAGCTCACACGCCATTAGTACTTAGTGCTTTTTTCCCCATGGCACTTTCTTCATCCAGCACAACTTCCATGTCATCCGTAAAGTAATTAGCACTTCTTTCTTCAGATCCTTCCACAAGACAATTCTGACATGATACACAAATTAGACAATATTCAATATACAGGCTGAAGGGCAGCTGGAGAAAATTGGTATTATAATTAGAAATCAAAGCTATTCCCTATATATTTTCTGTTGCTCTAGGGCTTTGGCAAAATGAGAGCCAAGAAGTTACTTTCCAGTATATTAAGATTTTAAAACTCAAATCTATTCAAAGGAATTGCAGATCAAAATAAGTCCTGCATTCAATTTAAGTGACAGTTGAATTCTGTGTTCAGAGTCAATTATGAACTCATACTCTGTGTACCATCACCGTTAATCCAAAATTACATTTGCATGTTTCTACACAGATCTCTCTGACATTTGTTATTTTCTTTTGTAGTTCCTATATCAGCTTGGTTCACAGACCCGCTACTTCCCTTGTGTCTGAAAACAGACTGAAGCAACATCCTGCCTTCAGTATACACAGATGTACATATAAAAAACACAATATGTCATGCAGTTATAGTTACATCATATAAAAACACCCTGAAAAATACCTTTTTTTTTCTTTTGCTTTTCCACTTTTTCTGTAAGCTAGACTTTTTTGCAAGACTAAGATAGAAAAATTGCTCTAATGACTAAAATATAACAATGCTTAAAAAAAAAAAAATGTCACAAGAGCTTATTTAGAAGTGAGATGACAAATAAAAACCTGGCATACAGAATCTGTGGAGAAATGCACATTTCTCAAAAATAGTTTCTGAATTTCTCATGGGCTTCTACACTTGCCACAGCCCCCTATTTGTAAGGAAGAGCACAAGCACACCATGAAAACTTGCGCTCACGCTGAACGTCAGAACACTTCAGCTTTCTGAACAGGTGGTTTGCATGACCAACCACTTCCATGCACAGAAATACCAAAGACTTATTTACATGCATGTATGCTTATCTACTTCTTTGTCAAGAAATATAACAATACATTTCAATCCCTGACATGCAGTGATTCTGTGATTTGCCCCACTAAACTAGGGACAAGAAAACCACTGGAGACCATCTGGGACATTCTCCTTCCCTCAATCTTGCAGAACCCATCATCAGTGAGGTATGAAGATGCCTTTGCTTTTGAGAGCAGGAGCTGCATCTTTGACCACAAAATTCTGAAGGATAAGAAAAAAGAAGACAGTGTAAAATTTAAGGGAAAAAAAACAGCTCAACTTGCAATCTCGAGGCTGGGAGGCAATAATTTCTGCTTCTGAAAGAAAACAGCACTCCTCAGCGTTTGTTCCATTACAGATACTGATTTCTTTGGACCCCAGGAAAGCTGCCTCGTTACTATAGCGACAGATACAGGGAAAGCTTAAAGCTTTTCACTTCTAATTGGCCACTCCTTAAAAATTATCCAAGCCATTTGTTACTAACCTTTTAAATACATTTAAAACGGAGAGTAGAATTATGAAAACCAATATAGAATAAACAAGAGCACTTGGAATGCAAAAGTTAATCTGAGGATAATTTTATTTCTAACACTTCCTTTTTTTTGCCCCACCATTATTTTCAAAATAATACTCAATTCTAATAAAATAATGAATATGAAAATTATCCTACCAATATATCCTGAACTGTCAATAGTGTAACAATTATTCTCCCCTTACTGTTTTAGCGTTTGAGTACAAAGAAGGTTTATGTTCCAGTGAGGCAGGAGGAACACGTGATAAAATCAGACAGTGTAATTCAGTCTGTTGCCTTGTTGATGAAATCAATGCTCTAAATCAGAACGAGCCTAAATGAGACAATTTTTCCTAACTGTTAGCAACAGAAGTCTCACGATAGGTAATACATGTATCTTTCAATAAGCTTGTATTAAAAGCAAACCCATGCATCTTTTTCCTAGCTGTAATTTTCTTCTACAGGGAGCTGAAACCTAAGCAGAACATTTTACACTTCATTAAAGTGGACTGTCTGAGTTCCTAATAAGATAGTTCTAGGGAAGCTCCTCCATCAACCAAGCATTCAGCACCAGCACTGTGTCTGTATGCTACAGAAAAGCATTCAGTCTCACGCCAGGTACGTTGATCATACAGCCCCTTATTCTGATGTGAAGGTTTCACTTTGGTTTCTCCTCCAGCAGAAAATAACTGTGGCACTGCACTAAGAGCAATAATATACAACTTCTTATTACCATACTGGAAAAGATGAGTTTCCTTCCCAAGGATAGTTCTCAGCTCTTTAACACAGATCTCCTCACAAGGAGCGCTGCTCCAGAACAAAGAGGCACTGGATTATTCATAATCTATCTTACTCACCACTTTTTTTTTTTGATGGAGCAGAGTCACCAAGATGAGTCTTTTGAAAGCAACACAGTGAACTTTCCTATAAAACTTCATTTCAGGTTGATGAATTCAGAGACAGTTACTTCACATACGACATGAGCAGTGTTCTTCCCCTCACCTGTCACATCCTATGCAGTAAAGCTTCATTTATTTGCTATTTTATCATCCAATCAGTAGCATTATAAAGATCCCTTTATAATTTTTCAAAGTTAAACCTCATCTTTCTTACTCTCATGATTTTCATGAGCAAAAAATTTTACATCTTCACATTTTTTTCCAGACTCTTTAGGCCACACAGCACAAGCATTTGCTTAGATTTGCTGTACAATTCCACTGACCGCTTATTTCTAACTATCTACTCGTACCTCATCTTCTAGCCAACTATTTCTCCCTGATGAGACCTTTCCTCTTTACTCTGCGACAGTTTAATTCTTTCAAGAGTGAGGGCACCACAAATACCTTTCAAAAGCCTAATGAAATCACACTGTGAACCACACATTCTCTGCTCTAAAGCACTCCAAACAAATGTATGAGACATTGCGTGCATTTCCGCACACATTATGCACTACTTTTGATATTTACAGCAGCTCATACCCGTTTGCCCAGTATTGTAGAAAGCTCCTGACAAGCAGAAGAATCCTGAAGAACAACTGAATACGTTGTACCAGAGTTCACACTTTACATCAGGTCATACTGCAGCTCCTGAATCATCACATTTGTGCTTATCTGGGAACAGAGAAACTTCTCTTGGATGTGACAACTGACCAGATATTAAATGTCACGACATCTACAGAGACAAACCGGAGGATGTAAAACATTCTTCACTGGCAAATGAAAATAAAACTATTATATTCTCTTAAATTATAATTTAGATCTTTTGAAACACAAACGTGGATATGGGAAACTAGAACTCATATCCAAAACCTATGGTAATGTCACTGTGACAATCAGAAAGGCTTTTCTCCCAGCTTCATGATTTCTTACCCTGACTTGCTGAGGCCACTTCACCAATAGGCTGCAATTATCATGTAAGCTTTAGAGCAGCTTTATCCACATAACGGAAAGGTGAAGAGTAAAGAATGTCCTATAGAAGGTGAAAGCTACCAAGGAAAAGCAAAACCTGTAGCTGAAGAGAAATGTGCTGCTGTTCCAATTAAAAATTAAAATACATCGCATAGTTCTTTCCTAGGAAGTTTAAACTCATAATAAGATTACATGCGATGAAAAAAAGAAGAAAAAAAAATAATGAGAGAAAACAGCTCTACAGCTCCCAGACCAACTTAAATGAATCATATTCAGCCCAAATTTGTAAGTCTATAGTTTTTGGATTCTTATGATTTTACTCTTCCCTTTTAATCATTGCTGGCAGCTTTAATCAAAGCACTTGGATATTGTTATGCGTTTAGCACTAAGAGCCTCCACGTATTTTTCTCTATAATCTCTTTGCTTTGCCTTTCTAAGTGTTTGTCAAACAAAACTCATTAAACAAAGTACTCCTTTATTCTCTGGTAGATGGAACTAAGAGAGGGAACAAACAACAGTACAGCACTTGCTGTAGAGAAGAGAAAAAACAACACTCCTAGAAATTTTGTTAATGCACGCCAATGCAGTTTTATATGAGAAGGAAAAGTCCCATTCAGGAGAAACCCTATTTTTTGAGGACATCGACAGTGAAGAAAACATCTCAGACCTCACATCCAGCAGTAAGTGTTACACGAACAGGAATGCATGATAACTGTATCTCCTATTACGCTTTCAGTGCTTATACTTGAATTTATCATACCTTTAATTCAGGTCACCCCATTAATTATAAAGAGTGACTACCATTTGCAGTGTTTTGGGTTTGTGTGTGCATGTTGTAGCTGAAATATTAGAAACGAAACAATAAAAAGGCTAACTCGAGGTCCTAATGAGTGCTTCCAGAAGATTTTGAATGACTTTTGAGCTATCAGGAACATGTCAGTTCCTTCTGCAAAAGCCATCTTTCCTGTGGGCCTGATACAAAAAAAAAAAAAGCTATGTATTTGCCAAAGGAGCTCTTCACAGTCTGAACAAAATGACAGGATTTTGAAATAGGCAGGACTTGGAAATAAGGTTTTTAAATAGGTTAGCTATTATCATATTCACCTTAAATATAATCATTTTATATACACATACATTTATGCTGGACAGAGCACATATTTGAACAATTACCCTAACTAAGTTCAATATATAAATTCCAGCTTGTGACTAATCCTATACTACAGAATTAGATAATTACTTGATATGTAATGCCACTAATGACATGCTGATCAAAAGCTTGGTGTTTTACGCATAAAAATATGAAATAAGTGTACAATGCTACAGTTATTTTGTGCTCCACTCATTTCAACTGTATCCCCTATTATTACAACTTTTCAAAAATATTTATTGCTGAAGACCAATTCCAATATTACTGTTCGTATTTAGACAGAATGTCTGAGGAAGTGCAAGGACTGCCCTTTCTTTACCACACTGACAGAAAACGAGAACTGCCTATTATCCAGCCCCACTCTAAATGCAGGACACCTTTCCTAATCCTCATCACAGGTTTCAAACTGTTCTTCTGTCTCTGCTCTCTCCTGTTGATGTAACAGCAACAATTCTATCTTCACAGGTGCTTCCTAACAACTACGTGTTCTAATCTACTACAGAAACTTGGCCTTTAAAACAAGGACAGCATTTCTGCTTTTTAATAAATTTTATGAAGTGCCACTATGAGGCAAATTTGCAGATTATTTCAGATAGGTTTCTGATTTTAAAAAAATGCTCTTACACAACTAAGTAGTGCCATATGAGTATTAAAAATAGTATTTCATTTTATAGACAAAAGCACATCATATTCACTCTTATGACAGATTTGCTAAGACTGCTCATCTATGTTGAGGACTGAGAATCACTACGTGAAAGTGAATAAGTTATTCTGATATGTTGCAAATATGACTTAATTATGAAAATACAGCAAAACTAAGCACCATTTCACTTTCCTTCAATAAAAATTATTAAAGTTATAAAGTTATTAAAGAAAAGAAGTATTTAATAGCAGAAATAAATGGTTGATTGGAACTGTAAGTGACAGGTATCATCATCAGTTCTCTTTGCTAAAAAACAGTCAACAGGAGCTACAGCTACAGTCATCAACATGCTCATGGAAGAAACGCTGAGCGTACAACATATCTTTCACTACAATATTCTTCCACAATGGCTGATAATCTACAAGTTTCTAATGTTCCACTTACAATGTGTAGTTGTCCAGTAAACCTGTAATCTGCATAGTACAACTGAACACCACTCTGGTAAACCATGTTCTGTTTGATGGCTTGCAATCATGTATGGCAGAGTAGCTCCTCCTCACACGCAATGCTAAAACACTGTCCGTTTGTTATCACTGACAACCAAGTGCCTTGCATACAGTGGCTCAGCTGCTCTCATCTGCTTGCAGGGTCACATTCAGTTACTCATTCACATAGCTCTGATTTTAAATGCAAGCTTTTTTTGTTTGCTGATTGCTTTTTCTTTCTTGCCGCACTTCTCCTCCCCCTCCTCTCTATCCAACAGCCAGCTACAGCCTTGGCTACGAAGCTACCAACCAGTTACTACACGCATTTACAAGAGAGAAGCAGGCAGACAAAAGGGGACAGCAGATAACCATGGCATCAGCTGGTCTGCAGTTCTTTGCTTTTATGCTGGCTCTTTTTGGCGCTTTTGGAGACATTGCAGCCACCTTGCTACCGAACTGGAAGGTAAATGCAGATGTTGGTTCCAACATCATAACGGCTATAACGCAGATGCAAGGACTGTGGATGGACTGCACGTGGTACAGCACCGGGATGTTCAGTTGCACCCTGAAATACTCCGTTCTGTCTCTCCCCATCTACATCCAGACTGCACGAACCACCATGGTACTGTCTTGCATCCTATCAGCCTTTGGGATCTGCATCACTACAGTTGGAATGAAATGCACAAAGTTGGGAGGGGACACTGATAGCAAAAGTCACACTTGTTTTGCTGGAGGAGTCTGCTTCATTCTCGCAGGAATTTTTGGATTAATACCAACATCTTGGTACACAAGAGAAATCATTTCCAATTTTCTGGACCAGACCATTCCAGAGAGCAGTAAACACGAACCGGGAGGAGCGGTTTATATAGGATTCATTTCAGCAGGGTTTCTGCTTGTTGCAGGTATGATTTTCTGCACTTCCTGCTTTAAAAAGCAGCAAGGAGCATGGATTTATCCTCCAAAGCAGCAGCATCTCCCATCCACAATGCAGGAGAGCAATGCAGGTTACAACCTGAAGGACTACGTGTAAATACCATTATTTTTATCCATTGAGGCTTTTTTATTTTATGCTAAGCGTACTCTGATTACTTTAAAGAACGTGTAACACCTAAATTTTCTTACATCTGGGCTGCAATTCTATTTATATAAGGTATTTTCCTCTTAGTGGTATCAGCAAAAAGAACAAGTTAAGAAGCAATGCTTGAGCCTGCCGCAAGAGTACTTTTTTGATTGACTTTTCAAACCATTTTCTTTGACTTTCCAAGTAAGATTTACTGAAGAAAAATAAATCATTTCAGCATAAGCAACATTACATTTCATGTACTTATCACTTGTTACTGCAAAGCCACTCCTATTTAGTGAAATCAGGTGACTGGTAACAGAACGCTCTATATGGTATTTTACCTTTTTCCCTTTAATTATGATGCAAGGAAAAAAAGCAACCATTCTCTGTCCAAGAAGCCCAATTCAACAATTTTTATGGAAGGGATACATCTGCCTTTCATTTTTTGTTCAAAGCTGTCATAGTAACATTTAGATTTCCTAAACAACAATAAAAAGCAAAAAGAAATAAATTGCCCAATACAAAAAAAAACCAACACCAAAGCAACAACAAAAACCTGCACTCCCAACCTTAGCTGCACAGCATTTGCGTATTAGAAAGGAAAATCAGTGGTATCATTCAAATGCTGCCAAAAACATCTCTCACCCCCTAAACTGCCACCTGCTGTGGGTTTCATTTATTACTGTTGAAGAAGTGCCAGTTGGGCACTCTTCAATTGCTGCTCATCTATCACAAGTGTTAGAACTGAGGAGCAGTACAACTGAAATGTAACTGTGACTATGAACATGTCTGTGAACTGTAATGTGGGATACAAACTGTTTATCTATTTACATGAAAAATCCAGAAGCATTTGGCCTTCAGCTACCATTTATTGCCTTGAATGTTTTTGGCCCTCTAAAAGAACTTCCTAGGTGCTTTTGATTATTCCACTAAGATATGTTTCAGGCCCAGTCCCAGACATCTTACTAGTGTAAAATGCAATATATAATAGTGATAAAGAGAATGCTATTACACTTAAATGTATACGTTAACTCTTTTAATTTGATTCCTTACCTTAGATCCTTTAACCTTTTCTTTCAACAAACCGATTTCGTCTGTCAATGTTCATTGGCAGATGTCCTATTTCAACATTTCACTGAACAGGAATCAAATTGATGCCCATTTGTTAGCACAGGTAAGAGGATACGATGCAGACCCTTAAATTCAGGAACGTTACAACATTGGACAAGTCTTCAAACAAAACCAACTGCTATTTAATTGGTATATTTATATGCAACTTTCAGTTCTTGTTTTATTAGCCCCAAATTCACAAGAACAGTATAAAGAGGCCATAATGTTATCTATCTAATGTTTGTTGGAAAAAGTAAAATCTGTTACAGCGTTTCAGAAAGTCAAATGCTTTATATCTAATAATGTAAAGTCTTTGTTCTAGAGCCTGCATTCTCTGAAATAAATTTCAAATTTCATCTTGCTATTACTACTACTGTTATGTAGCCATTTGAAGTTTCTTATCTATTCATCAGGGAGCTTCTTTTGTACTATTCTTACTACTTTTATCAGCAGTTACTTAATACTGCAGAGACATAAGCAAAGAAAATTTGGCTTTTTGCTGATTGTTAAGACACAATGCTTTGCAGCACCATCTTGTTCATAAAACAGAAGCCCATTATTTCTCCATATTCATAGGTATTGTTAAAATATTATTCATTCACTGAGCAAATGAGGTAAACAACTCGCTCCCAGAAACCATTCTTCTCCAGCTTTTGTTTGGGGCCTGACATGACACTATGCTGTGATCACTGCTAACATATGTGAATGAAAACTGATATTCATAAAACAGGAACCAAAGATGTTTATACATATGAAAAATGTAACAACTGCATACTCCAAGCAAAATGAAGTATTTTTCAATTACATAAGCAACACATTTTTCTTTCTAAAACTTTACACAAAAGTACCTGAACTTGTTTGGACACTTGTGAAATAAAAGTCAAGCACAGAGCTGCATTATTCACAAGATGCTGCAAGAGCTTTCTATGAAGGCAAAGGTTCTATCAGCAACAGCAACACCTCAAACCATACCAGTTCACTCCCACAATAACTGAACAAAACAGGAGATGAAGCTGCAACAGGAGTTAGAAGGAAACAAAGTACAGTGCAACAGGTGTCAGGTCTTCCTGAAAGCTTGTATTATCTGCTCTTGCAATATAATTTGTATTTGCTGTAAATCAAAGAAATATATTAAATAATTACACGTTTGAGTTTAGTGGTACTGCCTTTTGTGAGGTCCTTATTCAACTAAGCAACAACTGATTATAGGATTTGCTTATACTCAGACAGGCGTCACACCTTCATGGAGTTATCTTTCCCTCTCAGTTAATTGAAGCCTATTCAGTACAGGAAAATGTGAAATTTCAGTTACAGCTACCCAGTGCTGAGACACAGTATTTTTCACAGCTCTAATATGTTCTCATACTGCATCCACAAAATTCAAATTTTAACCTTATTGTACAATACTTCACATACTTAACAGTCAGATTAAAATCCTGATAATATTTTTGAAAAAAAAATAAAAAGAGGGTTAGAAAATCACAAAACAAATACAAACAAATGCAAACAAAAAAATGTAAAGCAAAAAAAAGTTACATGAAGGGCCTTTTTTCTTCACAATAGACTGCTGTCACAAATAATAATGCAACATGTCTGGACAGTTAGTTGTTAAAAAAAACAGTAAAGGAATTCTACACTGTCATCAGAATATGCACAGACATAGGCTGTAAAATTCAATGTAATAAGAGAAAGAGAATAACCTTCTAGAGGCTCTCGAGAGATATGCCTGAAGAATAAAATGACCCACAGAGAGACTGTGAGAAAGCGAAAGGATGACTTAGTAAAGAGCCAAACCAACCATTTTAAGAGAAACTTTCAGAAGGAGCAAGTAAATTTCCATGTGCACTCATGGCAAGCAGATCCTACTTACTGTCATGCGCATATTTTTACAAAAAGAAAAAGAAGAAAAAAAAGAAGAAAAAAAGATAGACCTGTGATCAAAATGCAGTTTAATTTTCGCATTCTTGATTCCTGTAATCCTAATGGATTTATTAAAACAACAAAAAATAGTAGCAGGAAATAAGAGGATAGCAAAGACACTTTTCTCTTCTAAAGAACAGACAACATAGAGAGAACACTTTTAAATGTTACTTTTTTAAACAGGGAGTGGGATGTAGGTGACTAAGTAGTATAGCAAATATGAGGGAGTTCAAAATGCTGAAGATGAGTAAGGTGAAATACACAGACTACAGATGTAGTAAAAATAGTGATCTATGGCATTTGAAAAGCTTTTATTAATCAGGGTGTTTCAGAAGACCCGACAAATTTTCCAGGCAGTTTTAAACTGCCTGTAACTGCAAATTGTAAAATAATTAGCTTTTCAAAGATGCTGCAATTCTAGTAGATTATCCGGCCACTAAATTTAAATCTCCACAAACGCCCAAAGAATTAGTCATCTTGCAAATAGACTTGAACATCAAAGCACAAGTTCTCAGTAAACAAAAAGAAAAGAATGTTCTTGAGCAATGGATGCTTCACTTTCATGCGTACCACAAACACCCTACTCAGTAGTATGGAGATGCTGAATTGAGGACCCAACTTCTTTCCTGCCTGAAAATCAGATGCAGTGCCCAACTGAAAAATTAACAATAAAATCAGAAGAACATAACAAAACTTACATCTGGCTTTGGAACAAAGGCTTGGCCTGGTATTACAAAACAGCTCTCAACAGTGCAGAGATGCTGAGACATGATGGACAGTCTGCTACGTTGCTTGCCTCCTGTATTAGCAGTAAGCCTCTGTTGAAGAATCAAAACACATGAATTAGTGAAACTGAATGGACAAAACTGTCAATTACATGAAAGCATGATTATCACTATAATCAAAGACAAATTAAAAAAAAATGACTAACTCTTAAGAGCTCACATCCGAGCTTAAGCCTGAATCATCTTGAACTATATTCTCCTATGTAATACCATTTCATCATGATAACATGCTAATTTACAACCCCAGTCCTTCAATCAAAAGCACAGAGAAAGCTCCTTGAACTTCTGCAGAACTTAATAAACGTCAACATAATTTTGTATGGGAGCATGAGAAGACTAAACCACTGTCATTGCAGAATTCAAATCAAAACAGTTCTGACTGATATTTTCACATTCACTGTTTGTGGATCTTTTATTTTTTTTTTTTTTTCTTTTTTTTTTCCCCTTTTTTTCCCCCAAATTAAAGCTCCATAAACTCAAAATCAGATACTAACCAAAATTTCTTTGTTATAAACTCATCTATGCTTACTACGCATGCAAGCAAGTCTAATCTACTTAAGTTTAGATACCCAACAACACAAGCATTTAATACTTAAAGTTCAAATTAGCAGCTCTCTAATTTTCCCATGGAATTTCTTACAAAGGTTATCAAAAAGTCACCCAGACAAAAGAGGTTTTCTACGCTTTCAAAAGCTGGCATGAAACACTATCTGCTTGTCTCGCTAGCAAAAACAAGACTCAAACAAAAAAACTCTCAATAAAACATCTCTCAAATGGTTACAGGTAATGGTTACAGGTAACAACTGAATTTTGAAGATTTCTCATCTTATTTACAACTACCTTAATTTTTTTTTTTAAAAGGAGCAGTTTACACATCTAACAACATCTGTATGTTGTATAGCTTCATGTGAAATTCATGTTGATAAAATACTGCTCAAACTATGTCAGAAAAACAAACTAAACCCATTGCTTAAGTTTTTCTCCTTTTTTTTTTTTCCTCTTTTTCCAGCAAGTCTCCTAAAAGGCAGTTTAAGTATTAGCATGGAACAAATAAAATCCTTTCCAACAATTTCTCAGAAAACAAACTCAGAGATTCTTTCAGCCTACATGAGCACTTAAAACTACCTTTTATTGCTTCAGAGGAAAGTTATTAAAATTAAATACATAAAAACAAAACAAAAAAAAAGGAAAGCGATTAGAAAGTCTAACAAAAAAGCAAGCAGATACATTCTTAACTCTGCAATGGAAATGAAATGGACAGCACTTACAGCTCTTCAAATGCCAATTCAAACAAGCAAGTCTACTTTCCATGAAAACAAGACTCATGCTTAGTTCCTGCCTCTCAGTTTACAGAGGGAATAACTTAAGAACATGCACTTCTGGGCAGTAACATCTTAAATTACTTCAATCATATTTGCAGGAGGTAGGTATGGCACTTTGCAAAAATGCTAGAATAGTAATTCTGTAACCTGAGCTATTTAGGTAGTTGAGTTGTTTTTCCTTTAGCTCTCAAAATTTTCTTTGTACTTACCTTTAAAATGCGGATAGCATCTGAAACTGTCAGAAGTTCAGCTAACTAGGAAACATTTTTGTATCTATGTACCACGAAAATTTCAAGGCAGGAATCAAAACACTGATTCTGGAACATAACATGGAGCACAGTCAAGGTGGTACATGACATCTTTTTCATGCTGTTCACCATCAACTCCTTTCAATGTTCCTCAGGGACAACTATTTGTTTTGTTCCTCAGTAAGCTACGCTTTTCATAAGCACGTATTAAAAGCCCATTATCAATGACTCTGCAAAATCCATCACAGGAATCAACCTACACAAAGAATTAAGAGGGCTGGAGCATCTCCCCTACAAAGACAGGCTGAGGGAGCCAGGCTTGTTCAGCTTGGAGAAAAGAAGGCTGCAGGGTGATCCCATTGCAGCCTTTCAGTACCTAAAGGGAGCCTACAAACAGGAGGGGAGTCAACTCTTTGAAAGGGTAGAAAATGGGAGGATACGGGGAAATGGTTTTACACCAAGGAGGGAAGGTTTAGGTTGGATATCAAGGTGAAGTTGTTTACCAAGTGAGTGGTGAGGTGCTGGAAAAGGCTGCTCAGAGAGGCTGTGGATGCTCCATCCCTGGAGGTGTTCAAGGCCAGGCTGGATGGGGCCCTGGGCAGCCTGGTCTAGTATTAAATGCAGAGGTTGGTGGCCCTGCATGTGACGGGGGTTGGAGATTCATGATCCTTGAGGTCTCTTCCAACCTGGGCCATTCTATGATTCTACGAATATCAAACCGATCCTAATACACAAGCCAATTTCTTGCTTTCAGAATGCTAGTATTTATACACAATTTACATCACTTAAGAAAACGTGGTAAGTTTTCTTCTGTTCATAGTTCAGAAACCTGAACTATTTTCCAATTTCTTAGCACCTTTTGTCTAGCATTCTAAATAGACAGCAGTGTCTCACATAAATTAAGCACTCTGCTCCTCTAATGTGCCTGTCTTCTAGACGTCTAATAGTATATGGCCCAGCCTACAGATTGTGTTGACAGAGCAGCAGGTGAACTATGTAGCCAGTTTTACTCAAAGTTAGACATTGACAAAGATCTTCCATTTAAACTGAATTATGATTCATTTTAATAAAAGTGGGTCAGGAAGTATCCAGCATAGGTGGCAAATCTGAGCTGAATTACTGAGGAATTTCTGGCAAAGATTTTTTCCAGAAAATAACAAACAATTTTACAAAAATAAACTATAGAGGCAAAATGATTCACCCAACACTTCATTTTTATAGCTGTAAATATCTGGTCTTATCCTCCTTAATAAGCCTCAAAACTCAGTATATAAATCACAACTACTGGTTCTCATCAATAATTTTCATCAAATCATATCAAAATAGAGAAATCAGTGGCAATAGGCCTATACCAACATAACTCATGACAGTGTAGCAATTAGAAAGAAATAGAAAAGCAGGAAATTACCACCAGCAAGAAATGCAAAGGTATTTTTTACCTGTATATAATAGCACAAACTAGCTTGATGACAGATTGGCACACTGATTTATTTTCTCACCATTAACACCAAGTTATCAGAAGTGATTATGAAGCACACAGGGCTGTTCCATTACAGCGTGTTACCCTTCCACTGAACTCATGTTATACACAACCAACACTTTATTCAGTAGTTAGGCTTTTAGCTTCAAAGGATCAGCGAGAATGTCAAGCTTTTAAGAATTTTTCCTTTCAGATACACAAAATATCAATAAATAAGGTTTTTATATTTTCTACTGTGTTAAACTGTTCTGTATTTGCAGGTACCGAATACACCTGTAGTTGCCAAATATCAATGGTTAAGCTACTTCAGAGTGCCACAAGAAAGATTACCATTCCTCCTAATCATAAAACAAAATAGTGCATCCCAAATGAGCATTCATTATGAAAACACAAACCATAAACTATGAAATTTCTGCATCAGAGGAAGCTCTGTGTTTGAATAAGTGTAAAAACACGAATCAAGATGTCCCAGAATGCAAAGTCAACAACAATTAACACTGATTCATTGCACAGTCTTGAACATACCACTTCACTTCCTAGTGTTTTTAACTTCCTAGCTTTTTAAGTACAAAGAATTTAAGAGTGCGTGGCATTTTGCATCTCATCTGAGCTATGCTGGGTACAGAAGTACTATAATCTGCATGTCACCATCAGCATATGCAGCTGGTTACAAAAAAAAGTACAAAGTCCACTTATGATCTCAGCACTATGCCACTTTTTTCACTGCTTTCACAACTCTTTGTTTATTATTAATCATCACTTTGCATTTTCTATCTTAGTCCATTAGCCATATTTTACAACAAAGTATAATCTCAGATGACACAAAGTCCTTCTGGAAAACAGAACAGGATTTTTTTTAATGCCTAAGCTCAGAACCGAATTAAAAAACCCTGCTCATGTCATAATGAACATTTGTCCCTTGTGATCTCTAGAGCCATCTGCTGGAACAACTTCAGTACTTTTCTTGAAGTCTGATTGCAGAGCTAAAGCAGTAACAGCAAATACTGGTTTCCTATGACCCAAAATGACAGCAGACACGTCACTTGCATGAATAAATAATCAATTTGCATACAGTAAAAACCAGTAAAATTTTATTTTCATAATATTCATTATAAAAGATAAAAATTAAAGCAACATAATTAAAGCAACATATACATTTAAGTTGAATAGAGGAAACATTATTTCCTATTCCCAACTAATAAGATGGAAATTCAATCACACAGAATCGCAGAACTGCAGGGGTTGGAAAGGACCTCAAGAGATCACCAAGTCCAGCCCTCTGCTTAAGCAGGTTCCCTACAATAGGTCACACAGGTAGGCGTCCAGACAGGTCTTGAATATCACCAGAGCAAGAAAATCCACAATCTCTCCGGGCAACCTGTTCCTGTGCTCTAACATGCTTACCATAAATAAGTTCTTCCACACATTAGTACGGAACTTTGTACGTTCAAATCTTAGGCCATTACTCCTTGCCCTATCGCTACACACTACCAAGAAGAGCCCAGCCTCATCCATTGCCCTCCAGATATTTCTATACATTTATCAGATCTCCACTCTTCCCGAGTCTTCTTTTCCCGAGGCTGAACAGACCCAGGTTATTCAGTCTTACCTCATATGGAAGATGCTCCAGGCCCTGAATTATCTTTCTGGCCCTCCACTGGGCTCCCTCTAGGAGATTCCTGTTTTTTTGAACTAGGGAGTCCAGAACTGGACAGAGTAGTCTAACCATGGCCTCACCAGTGCAGAGCAGAGGAGGAGGATCACCTCCCTTGGCCTGCTGGTCATGCTCTAGAAAGAGCATGCACCCCAGGATACCAGTGGCATTCTTGGCCACAAGGGCACACCGCTGGCTCACGGCCATTCTGTTGTCCACCAGAGAAGGACATCCAGGTCATCCTCTAACATGTACTGATGTGTTATTCAGACCAACACACAGTTCCTCTCTTTAAAAAACAACAACAAAAAAAAAGAAAACCAGAAAAAAAAAAACAACACTAAAATCCAGCAACTGGAATTCAGGTAGGAATCACAACAAACCTCCAGATTTATGGTATGTTTTATGCAATGGCAACAGAAATAAACTGTTAAGTCTGAAAGCATTCTGGGTGAAGTCCTCCTAGCATTAATTTATCTAGTTTTAACACTAAAACATGGCAAATCAATTCGGCCTTCTTTGAGAATCTATTGAGATGGTAAAAACCTCAATCTGACATAACACAAATGATGCTTATATACTTTTATAAGGCTGACAGAAATCCATTCATAATTCTGAACTGAAGTCTTGATCAAACTGGAGTCAGTTTCCACAGCCTGAACCAAACATTCTCTGCATTTGAACTGTCTAATCGAAACTGGAAATAATGCTAAAATCTTCCAAACTTGCATTTTTTCTTTATTTCAAGGAAAGGATTTCTTTTTCACCCAGTGTATTTTGTGTATCTGCTACACTGTCCATATATATATATATTATATAAATTAATATTTAGGGAAAACAGTAACAAATTACCTCTGCAACTTCCTTCTGAAAAGTCAGTGTCATCTGCGTCCTTCCATAAGTAAAAGGTCCATCTCTTTTAGAAACATTTTCAAGCCATTTGATGATCAGAGGAGTTGAAACACTGAACGGTAGATTTCCAATGATATGAATATTTGGTGGCTCTGTTCACATTTGATTGGAAAAAAAAAAACACAAACAACTGACAAAAAGTTTTGGATAAGATTTGTCATGAAAGAATATTTACATAACAAAGATATGAGCTTATCAATCTAGACTTAAAATATTAGAATAATTTTTATTGTGACACATTAAAATTATGCCTTTCCATTTATACTTGTCTTACACTGACAAAACTGTTACTGTTTATGGTAATTAGTTGCAAAAAAAAAAGTTAGGTTTTGTTCTTGTTTACATTAGAATAAATTAGTAGCTTTCAGCCAATTTTCAGCTGATCGATAGATTTCAGTTGAGCTAGAATAGCAGAAATACATAATTTAGACTTTTTCATTTTCATTCAACTATGATTATGAGATACAGAGAAAACAGCCACACTTATTATTCTGTCCAACACGTTTCATCTCATGGGCTTTGGAGACTCAGGGGAGTCAAAACTGTAACTCAGCTCAAATTAAAGAGAGAGCTCTGCACAGAGACCTATATGGAATCAGAAAGCTTTCTAACTACCACAAGACAGCTCCTTAGCCATGCAAAGTTATATGTATTGTTCCATTCTGCACCGCATCAATGAAAATGTTATACAGCACATAGCAGGTATTGCAGAAAGGTGGACAGAAGAAAGCGTTGCTGTTTCTTAGTTACTGCAGCATTTAATTACATGAATGGCAGATGACAATATCAAATTCAAGCTGGGTTTTAGGGACAGTTTACTTATTATTCACTTCCTAGGCTAGGATATTTCTACGATATTTGTGATTTTTCTCAAATAGCAGCCACAAGTAAGTATATTTGTGAAATCTACAAGTATTTCAGATTTTCATAAGGCAGCAGCAGAGTTAAAGTATACCTAATTAAGTATACCTCTAATTAATTAGTTCCAAAGACAACAGTGACTTGTGTGCACAGATGTTCAAGAAAGGTAGATTTTTAAAAGCCATACTACACCTTCATACACCCATTTGGCAGGGTTTTTTTTTTTTAATGAATCTTTGCAACAAAGCAAATATGGCATGGAATTTTCCAGGTGAAGAACATAAAGTCATAGCTGGAGTTCAGTCAGTGCTTACCTCTGCACTTAACTCAGAAGCCTTAAAATGAAACCGAAACATGCCCAAATACTAACCATCCTCCCAGCTCTTCTTTAAGTGATTTGGAAAAGCCTTCTCCATCTTATATGTCAGAATATCTCCATGAACAATGCGTACTTTTCCTGGAGCTGCTTCAGACAGCATCTGTTTGTATACAAGCAAATAGAATTTACAGTGAATATTAACCATTCTGATTTTCAGCATCATCTAGAGCATGAGAAAAACCCCTGCTATATACCTTATTGTACAGAAAACATTAGCAATGAAAACTGAGCACACTTAATAACTATTTACCTTCAAAAAGCAAGCATTGGTGAAAAATGTTCAGTATATATCTAAAACCTCATTATTCAAAGCTGCACAATTCCTAACAGGAAATTTAAACTTGAAAAAGTTGACAAGTTTCTCGTCCACAAAAATGATTAACAAACTCTGCATTATTAACAGGTATTGCAAGTAGCAAGTTTTGGAAAGGTTCTGGATCTATTACAGTGGAACATGTTCCTGCTCATGGCACAGACTTGGATGATCAACTTTAAGTTCCCTTCCCACACAAACTGCTCTATGGTTTTATGATTCCACATGATTTAAGTGTAATTATTTTCAACCAGAAAAACAAATCTAACCACAAATCCAAATCACTTAATGGGTTTTCCAGCATTACATTAGCAATTATATTGCTTTCAAATACACTAATCTACCATAATTTCTTTGATCTTTCTTTGAAGCTATTCCAAATGCTGTAAACGGATGAAAGATAATGTAAGACCAATAAACTTAGAAAACAGTACAAGAGGAAATTAAGAGCCACCTACACAAAGGATTATTAAAATATGTTCTACTGTTTGTTAATATTAGTTTCCATGTCAGAAGGAATGCGGGTCTTATTTAGTATTATATTTAACATAATTGAGAAATGCATTTGACTCCAGAAAATCACAATCATATACATTCAATCTGAAATCAGAAACTGAGGGAAGTCACTGAAGCTTTCTTCATTTTAAGGTTCATGAGTGCAGCTAGCATGGTTCCAGAAGCACTTATGCACCAAGTACATGAGCTGAGTAATTCTCCATTATGCAGATCCTCTTGCTCTTCACACACAAGTGAAAGGGTGTAAAAAAACAAAAACCAAAGGGCATGGTTCAAAAAAACTGAAGTGTGCTCCCTGAAAGAACTGCATATTCAAACTACTCTCTAAGAACACCTTCTCTCTTCTCATATATCTTTCCAGCCTAACAAGTATTAGGGCATATGGCATAGGGCGTTTGTGTTTCTTTAAGAGTGAGACAGAACTGACAGACTCTCAGCTTGTGTAAACTGTTACTCTGAACACATATGTTTTTCACTGAATTTCCATTTTTGCAGTAGAGGATCCCAACTTCAGCTTTGTGATAGAGATCACAGACAAAAAAACAGCCAATGAAAAATGCTGCATGCTTTGTATCAGCATTTTATAAATGTCTTTTTAGGTATTTATAAGACAACAACTGGGGACTTTCACTTAATTTCCGACAGTTTCTGTTATACAAATCAAGAAAGTTTCATGGGCATTCAACTATTGATACAGCATTTAATAAGGAAATGGAGAAAAAAAAGAAGAGGTAATATGACCTACATTAACACAAAAGAAAGATTAATTCTGTAATACAACAACAATTACAAAAACAACACAAAAAAACCTGTCAAAACTGAAGACATTTTGGCCACTGTTTTTCCTGCCAGGTTTATACAGTCAAATTCTAAACCAGGAAGTTTTAATAGCAACATAAGTAGATGGTATTTGAGAAATGCCTCAATGAGTTGTGAACATACACCAGCTACAAAGAAAGGAGCATAAATTTAAGTGCTTTTTTTTTTTTTTTAAGATGTGAAATAAATGCTTGTTTTACTCTTCTGTACCTGAATGCGAACCTACACTGAAATGTTTTAACTGGGGATATATGGTCAGAATTTTATAAACTTTAAGGCAAAATTATTGGGATTAAAATGAAAAATGAGATCAAAGGACATCAACATTCAAACTACTATTTCATGAATAGCCTCTTTAAAGCACCTGAAACATCCCCATGTTAAAAAAAAAATACACAAACAACTGTTATTCATTTGCAGCACCAGGTCAGAAAGAGACAATGGATACTAAGACAGGATCAATTAATTGCCATAGTACACGTTTTCATTTCAAGCAAATGACAGCTCTGACTTGAGCCAAAGTATCAAAGCTGTTTTCAATGCGCTGATCTAAGTAAGACACTTTGAATCTTTCCATGTCCTTAAAATGTTCAGGCATACATTTATACGAATCATTCTGCAGCTGATACCTGCAATCCTGGAATAAATCGAGTATCTTTTTCAACCAAGAGGAGTTGTTGAACACCAGCATTGAGAATAGACCTGGTAATTCCTCCTGGCCCAGGGCCCACTTCGCAGACATAAGCATTTTTCAGCTTGCCAGCTTGTCTCACTATCTTGTCTGCAAGACAATAAGAACACACTAAGCCTTTATTCTCCAAAGGATCCGGCTTACTAAGATAAGCACATTCGCACTCTAACAATAAACAATGAGTTTATCTCAGAATAGGCACAAACAGTGACACATCCCACTTACACAATCACATGCCTGCTAGACTGCACAGAATTCAAATTTGTTTCATGCCAAGAGATACTGCTTTAATGTTCCAGTGTTTAAAGAAAGGCTACTTCCAGTTTACTGTCTTTCATGTACATTGTTGCTCATTACAGAATCAAATAAAAGGAGAATATTACTTTTTTATCTGTAAACCAGCAGTACTGTTACTCCTCCTGTAAGTAAACACTCAACAACCTGGGGTCTCAATACTTATCTTTATAAAGGTATATCACTACAGAACACCTGTTTTAAGGAAATGAGAGGCAAAAAGGATACAGTGAAGCTCTAGCAAGACTACTGCACATGAATAGAAAGATACAACACTGGAAGTCATTACAGATGAGGAGGAAAACAGATGAACAATTGAAAAAAGCTTAAAGTAAGGATTAAAAACATAGCTACTGAAACAAAGAGGTTCTTAGGAAGCCCACAGTGGAATGCTGAGGGAAACTATACTGCTCACTCTACAAGTCTTCTAAATATGTAACAAAAACAAGAGATTCTGACAATTGGTCTATTCTAAGGTTTTACTAAACACATTCAGACATTTTTACTCTAGCTTAAGAGCCTGGCTATTCATAAAAGGGAATAGGGTTTTATATTCACATTCCTAATCTATATCAGCCAGAGTAACAATGTATAATTGAACCATTGGTTACACGAAGATACACTGCACTGATTACTGTAAAACCCAGCCACTACTTATACAACTAAAAAAATCTGCTATGGATTGCACATTGCCATCTTTGTCAGCCACTGCTGAGATGAAGCTGCAGAAAACTGAATTGTAACTGGTCTGAAAAGCTACAATATTTCTGACAGACTGACACAACCAACCTTCCTAACTACAGTATATAGTATATTGAAAGACAGAAGGACTAACAGTACTTCTTGTGATAAATAATAACCTGAAGGAAATCCTTTTTGAATCAAACATATAAATACAACTCACCTGAAACTTAACCAAATTTGGCAACACTTTGATAATTCTTGATAGTTCTTAAATGACAGTACTTTAATGGAAATGGTACTACTCAGGCTTGGAGTTTTGCACTGAATTGATATTTTGTTACTGATACTTCATACAGGAATATACCTAAAAAATATTCTGTAATTTACTCTATAAAAATAACATGTTTTCTAGAAACGTACAAGCAAAATCAAGAAGTCTAAGCTCAAACAGCTTTCAAAGTAGACTCTTGACCGCTGTATATTTGACAGATGTCATTATGCAAACATCATCCCCTTAGCCAGAAACCAGATTCTGACAAAACCCGACATGTGTACTTCATAATAGCTAAAAAAACTTATAAAATAAAATAGTTAACCTGTCAATCGCAAGTCCAGCAAAAAATTCTGGGAAAGTTCTTTCTGTGCTCGAAGACGAAAAAGCTTAATGATCTCCCCCACCGTTGGCAGAGGAGGCAGATGGAAAGCGGCAGCCTTTCCTGCAGCAGCCATCAGACAGAACTGGGGAGACACCAAGAAGACCAATTTGCAGTGAATTCACATATGCCAAAACTCCACAGAGTTTACAAACCAAGAGCTGATTTACAAATCATTACACAAGTGCTTGATTTTACTCACAGGTGTTTTCACTATTGGACACAGTGCCTGTATTAAGCACATCTCTGTGAGAGCTGGGCAAGAGACTCATTTGGTGGGTTGGCCAAAACATCGAACAAAACAAAACCAACCCATGACTGTTCACTTTCAATCTTTCTTTACTTTTTAACAATATATATTTACTCATAGAACAGCCTGGGTTGAAAAGAATCACAAGGCTTATCTAGTTTCAACCCCCCTGTTATGTGCAGTCACCAAGCACTAGACCAGGCTGCCCAGAGCCACATCCAGCCTGGCCTTGAATGCCTCCAAGGATGGGACATCCACAGCCTCCTTGGGCAGTGCGTCCACTCCAGTGTGACACCATACCACCCTCTGTGTGAAAAACTTCCTCCTAATATCTAACCTAAACCTCCTCTGTCTTAGTTCAAAAGCATTCCCCCTTGTCCTATCACTATCAACCTATGCCATCATTAAGACTTGCTTGTTTGGTTTGTGGTGTCACACATAGCAAGAACATATCTGTCTGTGGAAAGGGATTAAAAGAATTCACTGCTAAGTCACCTGCTCCTGTAAGCAGATGAAACAAACAAACAAACAAACAAACAAAACCAAACAGGAATGGCAGGCGTAAGCAACAACACTTCTTAAAAGATTCTACCCCCTTCCACCGCAGTAAAGCATTCCACCCCAAGCCCAGCCCAGGCCAGGCCAACCATTAATTACAGCCCTCGGGCCCAAACATCCCCAAGCTCCCACAGCGAGGCGGGGTCTGATGGAGCCCCGCCCCGCAGCCGCTCCTCTGCCCGCTGCACGGAGTCCCGGCTGCACACATGCGGCAACTGCAAGCGTGGATAGGGAGAAGGGTGAGCTGGGGAGGGGTGGTTGAGCCGGGCTCTTCTTTTCTCCCGCTGTGAAAAAGAAATCTCACGAGCAGCGCGCAAGCAACGCTGCAGTTTCTTACAGTACACGCGAGAGCTGACCCGGAAAAGGAAGCGCCTCTCCGCCCTGCGGCCCGTCCTGCAGGCGCATGTGTCCGCGCAGCGCCCCGGTTGGCGGTGGGGGCTCGGGGCAGGGTTGCGCATGCGCCCCGCTGCGGCCGAGTTCAGCAGCTGTTCCGAGTGCGCATGTGCGGGAGGCGATGGGCTGTTGTGCGCTGTGGCTGCGCAGCTGTGTGTGAATGTTTGCATGTCGTGTGCTCTGTGTCTGTCTGTCTGTCTGTCTGCGGAATAATTTGAGATTAGGGTCAGGATCTGTAATTTTCGAAGCTGTGTGTGCGTTGTTGTCTGCGTGTTTACTGCTTTGAATATTTTCCAGCACTGCTCAGCTTAGAATTCCCGAGTGGTGACGGGAGCCCTGTTGGCGTGCTGTGTGCTCGCAGTAACACAGCGGTCACAGTGAATTAAATAAGTTTTGTTCTCCGCAACGCTTTGGTTTCTTCTTCCATTTTCCTTTCATAGGGGAATGCTTGGTGATTAATACAGCAGTGTAAGTAAGTCACAGAATGACAGAACCACATGACTGATATGGGTTAGATGAGACCTTAGAGATATCTGGTCCCAGCCCCTTGCCGTGGGCAGGTTTGCTACCCACCAGATCAAGCTGCCCAGGGCTCTATCCAGCCTGACCCTGAATCTGTAGGGATGGAGTGAGTATCTCTGTTCCAGTGCCACACTACCCTCTGAATAAATTTCCACCTAATAGCTAATTTAGACCTGTTCTTTCATTTTAAAGCTATCGGTCCTTGTCCGGTCACTATACTCCTTGATAAAGAATCTGTCCAGAACTTTCTTGTTAGTCCCCTTTAGGTACTGGAAGGCCATTGTAAGCTATCCTGGAGCCTTCTCTGTGCTGAATAACCCCATCTCTATTAGCCTGTCTTTGTAGAAGAGGTGCTTCAGCCCTCTGATCATCCTCGTGCCCCTCCTTTGAATTGCTCCAATGGTTATTTGCTGTTACCCCAAAAAGTTAAAAGATATTTCCAGAAGGCTAATGTTTCCTAAAAAGCCAAAGATAATCAGCTAGATGTGAGAGAATGGAAACATTCAAGGAGTGCCAAAAGTAATTCCTTGCTCAGTGCAAAGAATGGATGTAATTTAAAATAGCTATACATTAGACACAGCTTTTGCCGTCAACATCATGTTCTGCTTAGATCACAGAATCAGTTAGCTTGGAAAAGGCCTTCTATATCAAGTCCAACCATTAACCTGAGCTACCCAGCTGCATCACTAAACTGTGTCCCTCAGTGCCATTCCTGCATGTTTCTTAAATATCCAGGGATGGAGAAACCACCACATCTCCCTGGGCAGCTCATTCCAACACTTGATCACCCTCTCTTCTAAAAAGGTTCTTCCTATGTTCAATCTAAACCTTCCTTTCTGCAACTTGAGGCCATTTCTTTATGTTCTGTGCCATACCACCTGAGAAATGAGACCAACATCTTCCTCACTGCATCCTCCTTTCAGGCAGAGAGAGATGAGTTCTACCCTCAGACTTCTCCTCTCCAAACTTCTCCTCTCCAGACTACACAGACTCAGTTTCCTCAGCAGCTCATCTGTCTTGTTTTCTAATTCCTTCTCTATTATAGCGTATTGTAATGTTGTCCTGTATAGAATAAAGTAGAAGAAGATAAATACACTGTAACCACATAAATATATTTTACAAATGTGGGCTCAATCTTGTTTTGAGATCAGAGTTTATCACAGTTGAAACTTGTGCATGTGAAATAAAAAAAAAAATGTTGTGAACACTTGTGGAGCCAAATGAAAAAAGAAAATGGATCTTTTTTTGGAGTCATTAAAATGTATGGAATATTGCAATTAGTGTCAGTAGCAAAAGGAGCTGGATTAGAAGTTACTCTTTATGTACAGTGGAATATTAGAATAAAATTTCATGGTCGTAGTCATAACTGAAACATGGAATTTTGAAATTGTGAGTTATAAAGTATTTGTCTTTTTATTTTGAGGGAATTTGCAGTCATCATAATTGAAAAAATAAAATACATGCTCCACCTGTTGGTAGGAATGTGGGATTTCAAATCTCATTTGTTACTTCACCCAATTCTGAAAAGAGCTTTAGAAGAAAATAATAATACTGATGGTTTTTGTACTTAAAATGTGAAGAAGTTTGAAGAAATGAGGGCCAGAAGAACAACTGTGAAAATAGCATGTAATTAGTCTGTTTTATGATCAGTTGAATAATCCAGGCTGTTTTACCTCTAAAGCAAAAAATTCTGTCTAATAATTTTTCTCAGTACGTGAAAAATTTTATGTCAGAATGTTCTTTTAATAATGCGTTTCATACTTTATTGTCAGTTAGGCTGAGCACTTTCATCTTACAAATTCAAGTCTAACAAATCTTTCTATTGGAAAATGGTTCTACCAGTGCTTAACTACAGGCTTTTTACTCATGAAGTGCATGTACAAAAGTTTCTGGGTATTTTGTGTGGCCACAACTCTTACTATAATAATAAAAAGATATAATATCTTTATATTTAAGTAATTTATAGGAATATAACAATCTATGTTAATTGTAATTACAGAAAAAAAAAAAAAAAAATTAGTAGGAAGCGTAGAAAAGTCATTCCTTGCCTCGGAGACATAGATTCACAGTTCCACCTTCCACAGTTTTACACAAATGCCAGGAAAAGGTAAACCAGGCATCTGAAGAAACTCACATTCAGGTTGTGAGATCAGTTGTATGAAAACACTCTTGGGGGATCACTTGGAATTGTTAATCTTAAGTGTGGCTTCAATTCAGGTTAATTTGGCAGCATTACAAGCATAGGAACCAATGTTGCAGCCATGATTACAAAACACTGTACTGATGAAAAGTTTTCACTGTAATTGAGAATTTCACTGGCAATTTCTGTTTTTGGGTTTATAGACTTGCTGTGCTTCTTCATTGTGACTTATGCACTGGTTCTGTGTTCAGGTTCTTACAACTTAAATGATGGTCCCTCTGTAAAAGGAAGCATGATATCAGTGGCTTAAAATGATTGTGCTTTGGGGATTATTATTACTAGTTATACGTTATGGCATCTTGTTCTAGAAAACTGGCTTCACACCATACTCCTGTAATTGCCACACTCCATTAGAATTCTTAGACAGAAATACCTATTTGGCAATTATCTTACATCAGCTTGAGGTAAATAGAATAACAAATTATGAATGGCAATTCATAATGAGCATTGAACAATGTAACAAAAATATAACACACAGAAGAAGTTAGAGACAGAAAAACTTTTAGTTTTCCTTCCCACTCTATAGAAAAACAAACAAGCAAGCAAACAAACAAAAAACACCTGGATTTCAATACCACAAGACCTCTATTCTTCAACTAGTTTTCATATACAGTGTTTCCTACTGTTTGTTAAAATGAAATGTTTATTATTTCTATTGCACTACCTCATAAGGATCGTAAATAGAGTTCAGGAGCCTATTGCACCAGGCACTGTACAAACAACATGCCTTCCCTCCGAAGAAGCAGGTAAAATGCTGAAGTAAATAAATCACAGATGGTAAAAGGTTTTGGTGAGGTAACGGAAGAGAGAGGTACGTTTTCATAGTCACAGTCATTTTAGAAGCCACTGGCTGAAAAAAAAAAAAAAAAGTGCAAAAATGCCATGAAATATCTTCAGTATTAATTGTGAAGAAGATCCATAAAATGGTCTCTTGCTCTTTAATGGTGGAGGCAAAGCAATTTAGAGTACCTTTTTTTGAACTAAATAGTTCTGTTAAATGCAGTGGTTATGAAGTACAACAGAATTACTACATCCATTCTTTGCTCTAGCAAAGCAATCCAGTTATGAGTAAAATCTTCCTCCTTGTGTACCACTGAGGAATCATCAAGCCACAGTATGATCAAGAACAGTATTTTCCCTGTTACCACTTCAGTAATGTTGTGTGGAAAAAACGAAACACTGAAGGAACAAAGAATTCCCATTAGCCGAAAATCTGGCAGAAAATGCTATCCAGCCTGCTGAGTCCTTTCCTAACATAATTCAGGAAATAGAAAAATCCATGGCTTTCATCGTTGCCACAGCAGATGTCTAAAAAACATTGTGTTTACTTTAAAACATTTGGATTTCTTTTGATGCTTATTCTTCTGATGTGCCATTTCATTTCTGAGCCCCTTAATCTGGTTGAGTCACAGTGTCAAATGCTAGCTATATCCCTTTGTGCTAAAAAAGTTTATTTTTACTATACAGTTTTGATTTCCACATGCTCTTACCATTCTAGACTCTAGGACATGCAGAAAGACAATCAGTTAATGCAAAGCTTGTGCTACCATTTTGGGAATGCCAGGAGTTATGATGAGCATGGAGACTATTTTCACCTATGTGACAGCCTCTGTGGAACTGGGAATTTTCACACTGCAAGGTGGCCCTGAAGACATAAGAACAGACTCAGCACTGTAAACTGCACTCTCTTAACATTTGGAATTTTGCATCATTTTGAAATACTGGTGTTGTAGTGAGCTTGGTCTTATAAAGACTTCCCAGCATTAAGTCTCCTTGGAGATTTTTCCATGAACATAATGGCTGTTTGTGTCTTAAATAGACTCTCTGACAGAGAATTTTCAAATTTCATGTTTCTTTTTCAAGCAGTAAGTCACTCATGTTAAAGAAAAATGATGGAGAGTAATGGCTTCCTCACTACTAGCAGTAGCTCCCCCAAGGAATTTTATTAAAAGTACAGCGTAGCATACCGCATCAACAAAATTTTTTAAACTCTGAGGATCATGAAAAATGAATTAAAAATTACATGATCCTCTGAGAAGCACATGAAATTTGTAGTAGCACACACTCTTGTTAAAGTTAAAAGTGTTCATGGCCACTCCGTATAATGATCTATTGTATTGTCTTGTGACATGCAGCCGTGGGCTGGGAGCAGCACAGAACTTGTGTGTTCCCCACAGGAGCAGATCACAAAGCAGGCAGTGTCCCTGGGGTTTTCTTTCCAGTTGTAGTGTTTCTTTGAATTGTCTGCCAGGCAGTTTCTGTATGTAAACTTATCTCATATGGCAGGCATCACTGTACAATTTGTGGGA